ATATATATATATGAATAAATATATGTTAATAATAAGACATAATTATAAAATTCTATTCCCTTGGGCATTTTTATATTTAAGGCAATCATTTGTACTGCCAATATTACAAAGAGCAGAAGTCATACCCAAACTGGAAGTTTCTAATAGACACTTTAAGAATATCAAAAATTATACTCAGAAGCTCAGCATTATTTTAGAATATTATAGGTTTTAAATAGTTCTAGTAACAGCAGAGCCATACATTTCTGAGAAAGTTAACCCTTGTGGATTCTCGCAATTTGGACTTACTTCGGAAGAGACTCTGTAGGGAGGAGAGCACTGGTAGATCCTGTTGGATTTCTCAATGCTGTTGGGACATGGCTTTGTGGCGTGCCGTTTGCCCCGCCCATCAGACCTACTTGCCATGGCGCAGCTGTTATTGGTAGCATTTTGGTCCTTGAAGAGTGGATAGCATGCGTGGGACACCAGTCTATGAGGAACCATTGAAGAAGTCAAAGTAATACTTAGAAAAATGCCATAATCACCTGCCTAGGTGCAATTTGCTGAACTAAACGTTCGTAAATTATTCTGACTATTTACACATTAAGATCAATGACATTGAACACAGCCATTCAATGACATTGCACTCTTCCCTGTTCCATTCCTATTTTTTCATGATAATTTTAAAATCTTGCTTAAATCCATTTTAATAAACAATTCTATCTACTGTACAGAATTTCCTGAAGGTGAAAAGGGGCCATCAATAAAATCTGTGGTAAAACGAACAGGAGAAGGACTCCTTAATTCTACATCTATAATTATAATGTAGAGGAGTGTGAAAGAGAATGAATTGTATCAGACTCAGATAGGGCTCTTCTGATAATTATGCAAGTTTCAGAAGTAAAGAGTATTTTTCACGTGGTGGGGGGGATAGCTCAGTGGTAGAGCACATGCTTAGCAAGCACGAGGTCCTGGGTTCAATCCCCAGTGCCTCCATTAAAATAAATAAATAAATAAATAAATAAATAAATAAATAAATAAAACAACCTAATTGCTTCCCCTCCACACACAAAAATAGAAAAAAGAAAAGAAATAAATACACATTTATTAGTTATAGATACATTTTTATAAGACTTCAATTATTATGTGCCTGTAGTTCATGATATTTTGGGAGGAACTGTATATACTAATATAATATTAACATTAATAAGGCATAAAGTTATCAGGTTATACCATTCTTATACATTCTACAAATGTATTATACCTTATACAAGCAATAAAGAAAATAAGTTTGGATTTTGAAATTGAAGCTGGAAAAGTACAACTTATTTGGATCCAAATCTAACATAATTCACTGACTCTCGAAGCAGATGGTAAGGAAAATGAAACAACGGGAGTGATTTTATGGACAGTCAGTGCTGAGGTGGCCATGGAAGTATCCGGTAGGATTGCTTCCAGAACATTCGACAGTGTTCGACAGAGTCAGAGGGTCCTCATTCTAACCCCAGGCAGGTCCTTATTTTAACCCTAAGAAACCTAGAGACACATTGTGGGCAGCTATTTACCCACGTTTTCTCAGGTACCACCAAGCTCTGTCGATGCTTCCACTGCTGCATCCGTGTCGTTTCTTGGCACAGCAAGAGATCAGGTTCTGAGGGGACAAGTTGGCTGTGTATTGACCTTTGGACTGAATCGCTATTCGGTCCGCTGCCACGCCTGTTTGAAATAGAATGTTGATTAATGTTCAAGGGGCACGTGGTATTTCCAGTCATTTCCATAGAGTTTTTTGTTTGAATCCTCAGCTATTCTTCAAAACTTTGTGTAGTTTAAAACTGAGGCCAGATGCCATGAATATATCTATGTATTCCAGCAAGTTCAACAGTGCCCTAATTTCAGGCATAATTTTCATCCAGTTGTGGCACTGCTTCATTGTCTTACCAACCTCAAAGACTTTTCTAGTTCCTTGTTCCTTTCATGTTCTGTGTACTTTTAAATTCTTTGTTAAGAAATATTGCAAGTGAATTTTTCAAGTGACCTTGAGGATAAAGGCCATATCTTAGTTACATTTATATCTCCTGCACCTAGAACAGTAACACTTAGAGTCATGGCTAAATATATATATATTTGAAATGAATGTAACTAAACAGAGGAAATGAGAAAGACTGATTACAGAAATATTCATTGGAAATTCATCCATGTTAATCTGATACATTGGAATAAACTGAGTCTTTGGTTTCTAAATTAACTGAGACTAATATGAACCTATATTATAAAATATCAAAAAGCTACACAGCACACTTTTAGGCTTATAATTTTCTTGGACATTATGATCCCAATTTCACCTTAGCAGATGTGGAATGCACCTTGTATTTTTCATATGTATCTTTTATGATTGAACCTTCCGTTTGTTTAAATAATCCCCTAGCCTGGTTGTTGTTAATGAGCTTGTTCCTCTCCCCAACACATATTTGTTGACCTCCTACCAGGCGACAGGCACTGTACTGAGCCGTAGAAATTGCAACATGAACAAAAACCAGAAGAGTCGTAATCCTGACCTCAAAGTAGAACAGAATAATAGACGAGGGAAACTAATCAACCAGTAGCAGAAAACTATATGTGTTAGCATTTTGATCACGCCACCATGATAAACTAGCATGTGTGCTGAAATCATGAGAAAATTGGGGTGGGTGACATTTTGGTACAGATATTTTTGTTGTTGGATTCCTGGTATAGTCTTGCTCCTGGTGTTTAACCTTTCCCTTTTAATTAAAGGCAACAGAGTCATAACCTTTCTCCTCTCTGTCCAATGTTCTCAGAAGTTATCATTTTTGCTCATCAAAATTATCTGTGTATTGGAACCCCTCAAGGTGCGAGTTTAGAATTACTCTCACATAATTTGTTTAAAAATAATTCCCTTACATATGTATTTCTGCATATACATGGTTTTTATGTCACTACAGCAGATGTACAATTGCTGGCGCATCTTAGACGCTCAGTCTGTGCTGAATCTATAACCTCGTACTTCCTTTCCAGGTCCCAGCGAGGAAATATATTTCACAGGTGGCGAATGTCATGACACCACCGTCTCTCCTATTCTCCAGAAAATAATCTCCTCTTTCATAAGAGAAAATGGAAATCCTCTGATGCTTTGACTTTCAGTACAGGGCTCAGAATCAAGTATATATATTTTAAATGTTAGTGTAGCGATTCTTTGGTTCAGAAAAGACTTTTACAATGGAGAGGAAACAGTGCTAAAAGGAGTCAGAAGCCTGGCTTCCAAGATCACGGCTGAGACATCTCAGCTTTCACTTTGGGCAGGTCACTTCCCCTACTGGTGCCTCTATTACAAAACCAAAGGCTTGATAAAGGTGACCTCTAACATCCCTTTCAGCGCCATGCATCTGTAGATGTCAAGGAAAGAATAATAAGCGTTTTTAATTCTAATGAGATGCACTGTGTTGCTCATACAGACATATCTGAATCTCGGTAAAGGTTTAATCCACATTCACTTGAAATACTTAGAAAAGGTCAGAAGATTTAAGGATGACTCAGTTCAGCAAATTGCTTTCCATTCTCTTTCTGAAAACTTCCTTCGGGCTTTACCTCTGAGACACGCGCTCTTATTTTATTCTGTCCTCAAGTTTGCCCTGCAGGGTAGATCGCTGCCACCGCTTCAAACTCCTTCACGTCTTAGCTTCTGAACTACTTGGATTTTATTTGGCTGCATAGTTATTTTTCTATATGTGTATATTTTTTAAGTGTCTTCTTTATTCCACTTTACAGTTTTTAGCTTCTTTGAGAGATATCTTTTCTGATTTTAACTACTATGTCCTGACCTGATTTTCTAGATCCTTTAGAGAACCTAGATATGCCTTTCTTTACTGAATACACTCAAAAAACAAAAAAAAGTAGCATCAGCCTGATTTGCCACAGTGAATACACACACAGGATACAAAACTGTCCTCCATCAGGTAGGGGGACAAATCCAGACTTACACCTGTGCTGAGGTCATTTATGGGGCTGTGGCCTGGGGACCCCAAAGTAACAGTCCAAATCAGCCTAGTAAGTTACTCTCCGTATTTCACTACCAATGTCTTCCCTAAGACGTCTTCAAAATTGCTGGTCTCATATGTATGTTCCTGTTTGACTGAAACATGATGCTGTGCACCAGAAACTGACACAACATTGTAAACTGACTATACTTCAATTAAAAAAAAAGTAAATACTGATCTCTTAAATTTAAGGTAAAATTCTTATATCTCACCTAGGAGGTATAATACACTAACCCAGGAACATAGTATGACAAGTGACTTATCTGATTAAATCTGTCCCTACCCATACCATCTGCAGCACCATGGATGGCCCTGGAGAATGTCATTCTAAGCAAAGTAAGCCAGAAAGAGAAAGAAAAATACCATATGAGATTGCTCATATGTGGAATCTAAAAAACAAACAAACAAACAAACAAAAACAAAGCATAAATACAGGACAGAAATAGACTCATAGACAGAGAATACAGACTTGTGGTTGCCAGGGGGGCGGAGGGGGGGAAGGGATAGAGTGGGATTTCAAAATTGTAGAATAGATAAACAAGATTATACTGTATAGCACAGGGAAATACACACAAAACATTATGGTAACTAACAGAGAAAAAAAATGTGACAATGAGTGTGTGTATGTCCATGTATGACTGAAAAATTGTGCTAAACACTGGAATTTGACACAACATTGTAAAATGATTATAAATCAATAAAAAATGTTAAAAAAAAAAGATCTTATTTACAAAACAGAAACAAACTCACAGACATAGAGAGCTAATTTATGGTGACCAGGGGGGAAGGGCGTGGGAAAGGATAAACTAGAAGTTCAAGATTTGTGGGATACTGACTAATACATATAAAACAGATAAACAAGTTTATACTATATAGCACAGGGAACTATATTCAGTATCTTGTAGCAGCTCACGGTGAAAAAGAATATGAAAATGAATATATGTATGTTCATGTATGACTAAAGCATTGTGCTGGACACCAGGAACTGATACATTGTAAACTGACTATACCTCAATTAAAAAAAAAAACAAACCATCCCCACCCAACTAAAATGAGACTCAAAGAGATCCCTGTGCCATAGGACGTTTATACTGGAGGAGTTAACGTAGAATTAACAGAGATGCTCCAGTGGTGAGCTTGGCCAAATGCAACCTTTCTAGAACAATCTAGCTGATACTATGAAGTGATGACAATGAGAC